TGTCATTTGATTCTATAAGCAAAGGAGTTGGAAAAACGCATCGCTGGTAAGGCTGACGTAAAGCATACTTTCCAGTAGTGCTTCAGGGAGAGGGGATTTGGTGCCTGACTGTGGCCATGACTCATCGGCCGTCATATAAGCATTCCAGAATCTGACATTCATACTATAAACGGGGTTCAGGGGCGTTAACTTAATCTGCCACACTCGCCACATGATGCCCTCGTCAGTGAACACGTCATCGACAGCAGTGGGGTGGGGGGTGTGCAGATTTTAATGGCGCTCATTTCAAATTCTCTAACCAGGTCGCTGCGGGGGGAGGGGAGAGGCCGATCAAACACTGAGGAGAGTGAACTAAATGTGGTGGAAATATTTGAAAGAGATCTTGCCGAAGAACGTTAGGTTGAGACTCAGCAGCACTCTGGCCAATCGACTTGCAAAGAGACGTCAACTGGCCTAGGTAATATATCAATAAAATCCATCAGGTGCCGAACCTCATGAGACATCAACGAAATCCGTCCTATTCCACGGCTGCGATACTGATTGGAACGCATAATGACCTCGTTAGTCGGCATTCATTGACAGGCTAGGTTTCAGTGGAGATTTTCACATCCTTTTATGTATATTTATATCTTGGTCTGTGGATGCCTAAATAGGCATTGCCCGTAAAACTCCCTATTATCACCGTTTCCCGTTGCCGATTTTGTCAATTTCTTATTCTCTAGTGGGCAATGAGAGTTTGTTGTATAACCGATGGTTACCTTTTCATTGCTCTATCGTTTTCAGTAAAGCTTCTCCATTATTAAGTGCTTGTCAGCACGTAGCGCTGTGCGTGGCCTGTGGTACCTCGGCTACAACGCAAAGCGAAAATGTCCACTTTTGTCCGACAAGCAGGTCAGAAACAGGCACTTGTTTCACGGTCGTTACCGATCATCAGTACGTCGTCAGTAGCAAGCTGGCAGACGGACAGAATGGGGTCGAGTAAGATCCTAACCACAGCAGTGAGGGTCAATCGCTCGCCCGATATGTTTATATACCTCATTTCATATGGCCTATGACGTACTAATGGTCGACAACGGCCGCGAAACAGCTGTCTGCGTCTGGTCTGTTGCACTCTTAGTGAGTGTGTCCTATGTCACAGCGTTTGTTGTCGCCAGTAGCAAGCTGGCGGGCGAACAGAATTGGATCAAGTGTGATTTTAACCATAACAGTGTGGGTCAAACGCTTACTTAACCAGGGTTGGTCGACGTTTGCCATTTAGCCACTGCTTCTCGCTGCTTCACCGTTCATGTAGGCTTTCGGCAGGAATTTTAGGGTAATACGGAACGGCTATCTTCCGTTGTGCAGTCAGAATGAGGCCAGTGCATGTCCCTCCAATTCTTCTCTAAAAATGACTCACTGCGTGTGACTCCTGTTTGAAGCCGTCGACCCCACTTCGCCCAACCGAGGAGGGATGCTGCTTTGGGAGACAATCAGTTGTCCATCTGCCACGGCCCCTAACTGCGGGCTACTGTGAGCTCTCTCCTGCGTTGGGCAATTTCTGGGTAATAATATTTGCAACTGCTGTGACAGCTCCCGGTGACGCACACATGGACCACACACAGTCAGCCGCCTAGGTTAGGGACCACCAGTCAAACGGCGTGCCCTGGTCCGACCTGATTTCAGGGCCGACTGAATTCTCCCGCTCCGGAGCTCCAGCTCCCTCTGCGGTCCTCGCGTGTGGTTATGAAGAAAAATACCGAGGACGGTAGGCCGCGTTAGGGCTGCCGCCTCCCGGCACTTTGTGGCCTGCTCGTCTGGCCATCTACCATGACCGGCTTAACTTGGATAAATACTTAAAAGTATAAATAGTAGGGGGCGCTCACCGATCTTTCTTACGGAACTCACTCGTTCTGCTGTGCCTTATGGGCTCTCTCTCAGGCCCAACCAGCAGCCGCACAGCGACGCATGATATAGGCAGAAGGGGTATTACCGACAAAGACAAAGGAGACTGGAATGACCATCTCTGGTTTGTTAGCCGTCGTCAGCCAGTTATACCCAACCCCGAAGTGTGGAACACCCGAGGTTCGAGGCGTGGACTTCTAACTAGCAGGTCAAGAGTTCGAACCTCGGGTGTTCCACACTTCGGGATTGGGTATAACTGGCCGACGACGGCTAATAAGCCAGAAATGACCATTCCAGTCTCCCTTGTCTTTGTCAGTAATACCATACTACTTAAATGTATCTTTCTGAACAGTAGGTGATTGAACTCAAGGAACATTATCAGGAATTCTGATGTTGGATTTCTGTTAAAAATAATTACCCACATGAGGTTGTATTATTGGTTGTCAGGCAGCATAATCCCAAGATACGTCAGTCACGTAGGCATCTTCTAGGTCGCTTACAAAATTCCGCTCACTAAGAATTCAATGTTTAGTTATTGCAAATTCTCCGGCGCGGATGTATATTTCTTCCCCCTAGGCCAACTTCCTACTAAATGCCTCATCTATATATTAAAACATATAAGCAGCGCAAATACGATTTTTCCCTTTTGCATATTTAATAACACCGTGTTTCCTTCTCTAGAAGGTCCTTATTACTTCCATTTCCATATTAAAGATGATCTTGCGCCATATTTCGGCGTGGGGAGTACATATATCCATTCCCAACCAATTTTCTCCAGTGATTTTCTATACACCTTTAATTACAGATATATTTTGTGGAAACCGTTCATAGAAATATCTGTTCCTGCACTCATTTGGTAGCAAATTACCTCTCTTTCAACTTTCTACTAAAACAAAGGGCACCTTCCGGTTTTACAAAACTTCTTTTTGGTAACGGTATAGAGAAGGACACCACTTAACTGTCAGTAGACTGTGGACCGTGCCATACGTGATTTATGTTAAAGGCAGTTTTATGGGTGGGCGGCACGCTAGACAGTAAGCTTATAAAACGAAAAAAGCACAGAAATTGCCTGGATCTATGCCGAAAGTCTTATCCTACGCTATTGTACCACAACGGTAATGAGGGTAGTAATTAGACAACAAACAAAAATTAAATTTCACAAAATAAGGGGTGTTGAGTTATGGTGTGAGGTCGTGGGAAGTAATCGTTTTTGGCAGCGGAATTTCTGGAACGGCCTGCAAATGCATGCCAGGATAAAACCCCATATGATATGATCCACACTCTACTAACAGTTAAGTGGGATCCTTCTCTATACCGTTGCCCTTCCTTTTCTCGAATAGTTTTGAACCCGAACTACCGTTGCACTAGCTTTTGGGATTTCCAAATTACAAGCTGTTAACTGTCCATTTAAAAAAATCAAAAATCCCTCCGCGCTATTAAAAATGTCGTATAGAAATCATAAATTGTCTAATGTCTATGAACCCCATTGTATAATTCATAAGGAGCGTTAACAAGCTAGTGAGTGTGATGATACTCAAACAGGCCAATCACAATCTTGACAAATTTCATAAGTGCAGATTTTTTAAACCGGGGGGGTGGTCGGATGCTGCTATTACTACAGGTGGTCTCACTCTAAGCTCCAGTAGGGTACCTGTTCCCGTGTCTTGACTTTAACCCTAACGCTAGCCCTCATAGTCCCAATCCCTATTCTAACCCTCCTAACCCGAACACTAACCCCACTTTGAGTTTAGGGAAGGCCGCCTGCAGTACGGAGGGAGGTCCATACATCCCTGCTCAATCACCGAGACATCTTCTTATCAAATAAAAAATGTGAAGGTGCATTTTCTTGCAAAACTAGTATAAGAAAAGATATTTTGCGCACGCTTCCTGCAAAGTACTTCTGGATTTACATAAGCGTCGAAAATGAGTGTGAAAGGTTGTACCATTTAAGTAGTTCTTTTTAACAAATGTGACTTTTGCTGGCGGCCGGAAATGTGCGCATTCGAAATTCGGCGTCCCGCTAAACTGATGCGATCTGACCTATAAAATCTAGCCCCTGGTTAAAAGCGGGGCTGGTCCTTTCTTGCCCATATATAGTGGCACTAGCCGGAGCAACTTGAGAGAGGGAAGATAACACCTCAGTGACAATGTAAAGGGCGGTAACCAAATAGTTTCAACACAGTAACCTGTTCCCTCCCCTGAACGTGGACTTCGCTGCAGCCTAAGTAGACGGATTCTGACAAGTGAATATGGGACCAAATGTCAAGAAGTCCATCGAACAACATTTGTTGATGCCTGTATGAAGGTAGGCCTGAGTGAGTGCTGATCAATATTGCACCTCCATCTAGGTAGCCCTTTCACAGCGAAATCACATTTCATGATTTCACTTAGTGTCTCATTAGTTATCTTATCTACTGCAAGTCACCCTACCCATGACTAAAGCGCCATGCCGACAAAAGAACCAACTTCTGGTTTTCCGAGTATATGTAATGGAAATTTTTCGCTCCACTTCAGGTTTGATTGAATGCGAATTACTGGTCAGTAAACGCGGAGGCTGGTGGTCTCTGGGAGGGCTCTTTCCCAAGAGCACAGGACCCCCTCACTTGCCGTAATGGTACATTGGCAAAAGCACAGGGTACAGTAAGCTGTTACAATACTGTAATGACTGGGTATAATAAGACCTCCCCTTCCTGCCTGTTCAGTCTGAACGTGCTCGCCACCGTTTCGTGCTCACTGTTCGTCGGTTGCGCAACTACCGTCGTTAGAAGAAGCGATAGTCAAATGATCGTCAGACTGTGCATGTTGGGGTTGTGCGCGTTCATGCGTGCTTTTGTCAGTAGTTACTCTTAATTGCGCCCATCTGGAAAGAAGGAAAACCTACGCCCACGCCTAATTAGGCTCCAGCTAACCAACCCGTAGGCACTTTCGAAATACTATGCAATAGGGCTAGCGAGATCTAGGACTGGCAGAACTCCTTCTTTCGGAGGGGGGGGTGTCGTGAATGAACGACGTGCTTCCGTCCTTACTACCTGGATCGTTATACTAGAGCATGTCGTCGGTAAGCCTATATGTCGTTAATAGTGAAGAGTTGATCACAAGGTAAAATATCAGAGGGGGAAATGCTGCGTCCCGAGAACGTTTCGATTAGCAATATCGGCTACGACTTGTGCATCCTCGATACAGCGCGAATAATTACAGTAGTTGGGCTAACTCATGAAATGTCAACCGAAATTCCAAAATGCGTTCTCGTTTCGAAAAGATTAATTAAGTAGGGTTTTAAAACTAATTATCATGCGGCAAAATTCTATAGCAAGTCAGTTACCTCAGGGTGCCGGCTTCCGAAAGAACTTCTTATTGGCTGCATGCGAAAACTATATTCTGTAAAAAATGACCACTTAAGTAGCATGTATTTTTCTTATGGATTTTCGATGCCCCTAAAAATTCAATTATATTTCATAGAAAACATCCATAAAGATATTCTTTCTTTTGCTCATTTGGTAGAAAATTATATCTTCTTCCAGTTTTTTACTCGAAAGAAAAGTATAATTCGGTTTCCAAAAACTTTTCCAATTCCTGAATAATTTTGATCCCCGATCTGCCGTTGTAGTTCCATTCAGGGTTTCCAAACTACAAGTCGTATATTTTCCGCGTACAGAAAACCATGCGCTTCTCTACGGTATTAAGAGGAGACCATATCGAGTCCATAAAATTTAACAGTGCATTTGAGCCATATTGTCAACTTTACAAGTCACATTAGTGAATGCAGAGAGGTTTTATGAAAGGTCATTTCATGGTATTAAAAGGTCCCACAATTAGATATTTTTTGAAAACCGAATTATACCCTTCCTTCGAGTATACAATTGGAAGAAGCGGTAATTTTCTGTCGAATGAACAAAAGAATGAATATTTTATGCATGTTTTCCAGGAAATATAATGGAATCTTTAAGAGCATCTGAAATCGATGAGAAGAATGCATGCTACATAAGTAGTCATTTTTTACAGAGTGTAGTTTTTGCATGCAGCGGGAAGGAAGTTCATTCGAAAGCCGGCATCCCGAGCTAACTAGATTATTATAAGATGATTTGTTTTACAACACTATTTAATTAATGTTTTAGAAACGAAAATTATTTTTGGAATTTCGGTTGACATTTCATGAGTTAGCCCACCTACTGTATGAATGTGGATCATGCGTTGCACCGAGGCGAAGGCTCGCACAGCCAGCACCATTTGCGATCCAGCGGGGCGCTCTGCTCTCCCGCCGTCCGCATTGGACAGCCAGGTCATCTGTGTGGAGTACTTCCGGCCTGTTCGCCTTACCCACACAGAGTCTGCTGAATCTAGCTGCTCTATAGCCTCTCTAGATTCAGTCGCCTGATTCGGCTTACTTCGTGCAGTCCGTACGTGGAAACGGTGTAAATAAGTGCAGAATTGTACGGAAACACGGTTCTATAATTGGCATGATTAGCAAGTTTTAAATGTTACACTTACAACCAAATGTCTCCAGGCGTACAGTCAGACGGGCAGTGTCAAGTTGCGCGGGAAGAAAACGGAAGATTCAAGCAAATAGTACGAGAGTTGGAGGAAAACAAAAGGCCATAATTTTCCGAGGCAAACAAAAAATTTTAAATATATGGTAAAAGATGTCAAAAAAGGGATATCATACGTGGGAACATACAACCGGTACGGTTAAACGCGGTCGACACGTGCGCCTCACAATGTCAACTGAACTGAGGACACACAAGTCTTTAGAAAAGGATGGCTTATATCGCTAGTGGAAACTTCAAATAACTAAAAGTCTCCTCCTCCTCCTCCTCCTCCTTCTCTTCTGAATCTCGGAACGTTTCATCTGACGTGCGCAGACTGTCAAACGACAAGAGGCTTTAAGGTTCACGATCGAACTCCCCGAATATACAGTCCGAAGAAAAGTTTATTTTTTGATTTGACGTTCACCGATCGACTCACGAGACCTATTTTTCCCGCCATGCCTTGAGACTCAACCTGGAGCCCTTGCAGGCAGTCGCATGGCGACCAGACATACAGTCCGTGACCTATCTCATGAAAGGTCACGAACTGCGAACTAAAATCGCTGTGACGCACGAACCACCAACTCCGCATCCACGAAAGTTATACTGCGTTAGATAAAAGTCTGTAGCCAGTATATTTTTCAGCACACAAAAACGTCCTCTAATAAGTTTCCTACTCAAAGATGACTTTGTCATGGCGGTTGGCTGATGGAGGTCGAATTCTTTCATCCTTTTTCTAATTATGCGCAAAGGAAACATCGTCAGGTATTCCCTGCGAATAGCCTTATGGGCCATATAATGATACTTTTCAGTGTTCGACAACTGAACTGTCGTCTTGCTTACTTGTGGGCAGTCTTAGTCCATCTTGTTTAGCTCTAATCAATGTTTTATTATTAATATTACTCCACATAATGACTGGGCTAATAGTAAAAATACTAGCTAATGACTCACGCGGCAACCCTTCGGCTGCCAGTTTTCGTTGCGCTCAAAGTCAACTCCCGGTAAGAATTACTTTGACATCTTTGTTTCACGACGTAGCACAGAAAATTTGCAACATGTAGCGCGCAGCCTATATATGCGTGCTTATACCTACTTATTCCCGATGTAGTAAAACCAATAATGTCGAACAAGCTTATTAGTGTGGTTAACGACATAAAATGTTAAAAGTTTACTAAATAGAATTTATAAAAAACAAATTGCTTCTTCTTTGACGAAAAGAATGCGTTTTTACATAGTTATTTTGGCTTGATTTTTATGAACTAAAAATCCCAATTTCCATTCCCGAAATGGGTTTCTTTGATATTTTTCTTGGCCGTATGAATTTTCCTTTATAACGCAGCGTGCGTAAATAAGAGGCTCTAATAGGTGATATTTATAAGCCTAGGAAATTACGTGGATATCCGGAAACGTCAAATTTTGCCTCGTCTTGACCTGCTTCCCTCAATAAAACAAACCTAACATGAATTCTTCTTTAGAAAAGCGTTTTCTGGAATTCCAGTCGATTCTAAAAACAAAACTAACCACACCAAATCTACACCGTGTTACCAACCCCAATACCGATCTCGGCATTTCAAGAGTTAGGTCATCTTCTGTACATGCTAAAGGGCGTTCCTATAAAGGTGAAAAAAGCTGGGATGGCCATTTCTGGCTTATTAGCCGTCGTCAGCCAACCCTTCCCAACCCTATGTTTGCGACACCTGAGCCTCGATCCGATGTTCTCGGGTCCTCGAACGTTTGTAAGTTCAGTACGGGTTGCTTCACGCACATCTGGCAGAGGTCAGGGGCATTTGTGAAAAATCAGGTCCTCTTGCAACGTCATACTAGAAAGTCGGAATATTTAGGCTTTCAAAACGTTCACATTTATGTGCTGTGAGAGGTGTGCACCAGGTACATTGGCTGATCTATCACATTAAACATTAACCGGAATGTGTTTTCGACTAGAAGGGGTTATTAATGTAACGTTGGAGCATTGGTTGCAACGCAACATAATCCCCTAGTTTTTCAATCATGTCAGGATGACGGCTTTTGAATGATCTCGCCTGCAAAAAACTGGCTGGTCAAAATTGACTAAGCAAGTGGTATACATTTATCATATTGCTCTTCGACGTCCCTATAAATTCAAATTTTTTATGAAAGAAATACATGAGAATATTCCCTGTACACTCATTTGGTAGGAAACTGCGTATCCTCCCAATTACTTACTTAACGAAGACGTATAGAAAAAGTTCGTAATTATGCGATTTTTCAAGACCGTGAAATGGCCATTCATACATCACATCTGTCGGTTACTTATGAAGTATGAATAATTGTCCATATCCATTGTAAAATTGTATACATCCTGTATGGTTTCATCTTAACGGGATGAGAAAGTGTACTACCTTCCTCACAGGGAAAGTACACAGCATGTGGTTTGGAAACGGCAACTGCAAATCGAGTTCAACATTGTTCGAAAATTGTAAAAAGATATTTAAGGCCGGAAGACATCCCTTTTTCAAGTATTCAATCTGAATATAACTTAATTCTTTATTAAATAAATGCAAAAGATAATATTTAGAACATTGTTTCTTAAAATCTATTTAGATTTATAAATATTTTTAAAAGTAAATGTGGAAAACACATACCAGCTAAGCAGTCATTTTTTGCCGAGTGTAGTTATTTCAGGCGGCCTGAAAGAAGCTCAGTCAAAATCTGGCATTCCGTCGTGAGCGGAATATCTTGAGACTAGGCCTCACGATAATATTATTACTCCACCTAAGTAATCAGTTCTAGTCGGGAAGTAACTTCAGGATTTCGGTTAGTATTTTATCAGATAGGCCAGCTAATGTATATGCACATACTCTAGGAAGTTTAGGACCAATTGCCAAGAAAATACGGCAATAAAGATGAATATAATGTCAAATGGTGACTGTAAGTGCATGAAAAAAGCACTGATTTCACAAAAATATCAGTTTTTGAATCAAAAATACACCACGTTCTCGAACACCAAACCTTGTGAAGACGCAAACTCCCACAAATGCGTTTTAGACATGCTATTTCTGTTGGTTTTTTTAGATTGGCGGATTTTCTACACACAACTATCGGAAGCTAACGGAAAACTGCGTCGCGGCTGCCGGTACGTAACTTCGCTAGGCCAGCTTTTCCCCTTCGATGGATAAGTTAAGGAGTACAGTCAGTATTTTTAACGTGCAGAGTATAGGGAATGTGTACCTTTGGACAAATCTCCGATAAAACCTAATCTTTTTTCCTCTCGCACTGCTCACCTCTTGTCACATATATATAAAACCCTTCCTATTGAAGTCTAATTTACGTTTACCAGTGAGCAGCCTTCATCGCATATTTGTCTTCTGTAGGAAGTCAGATCTACAGTTCCTGCAGTCGGTCGCATAGCAACCAGGAATCATTAGTTAAGAAATATTGCCGATAAGGACTAGAGGAATTGAAATTACAGTCGTTATCGGGCAACTATACCTTAACCCTAGACCAGAAACATCGGCTGCTTGAGACCGCTAAATGAGTACTTATTTGAATGTCACTGTACGACCCCTTTTGATGGCCATGAATTCAGGGAGCATTGGCATTCCGCCCCGGCATAATTTCGAGAGGTCATGCATATCGTTCAGCTATTATAATTTGTCTAAGCAATGTTAAGGAGAGAATGGTAACTGTGATATTCGTAACAAGCATGGGCATACAATTTGCACTTCATTTTGTCGGATAGGAATAGAGTCGTATTGTGTTCTCTCTAAGGGACAATTTTAATTTCTTCATTATTTATTCGGTTACTCTGACATTCACTTTCGATGCGTCGCCTGGCAAATTACCTAAAACGCCAGGGTCAATTAAAACCACCTAACTGCATATTTTGTGTGTCTGAGTTTGTTTTGGTTGAACGAAATTCTTCAAAATATTAGAAAGAATTTCTTAAATGTGCTTTCAGGTAAATAATATTGCTTAAACGAAGTTATTGTGCCGATTAGCAGACAATAGAAGCCAAGGCTATCTCCTGCACAGCATTACGTTCATGTTTGATTTAAAAATAGTTTCAGCCACTTACAAAAATTTTACATACCAAAAATACTGTCAAGTAGTAAGCATTTTTGTCCGTCCTTGATTATTATATAGGTCCAACCATAGTATCTACACATAATGCGCAAACATGTTCATTTTCAATGCTTGGTTTGCTCCGCAAAACCAGGCATTTCTGCGTACCAAATATTTGGATATTAACTTTTTTATGGAATTAATAAATACTTGGAAGAGCAACCTGCGCTTTAGCTTGTTCCCAAGCTTTGAAAACCGCATTCCGTTTATATACATATAATATCTACACATATGTATTGGAAGGCAGGCATCACAATAATTTGCAGGTAAACACGTTCTTTGGGAAAAGGAAGTTTATTGTGCAAATTTTCGACGCCGGTTCCCCGGGTCGTCGTCAGACGTGTAGAAAGAATGAAAAGCAGTCAAAATTTAAACATGCTTCCTCAGGTGCCTTTCAACGAGCTCAGACACATTTTTAATGTTAGGAAATGTTCGCCAGTTTTTTGGTTTTGGCGCCTAATCGAAACAATCTGGCTCCTTGCCTTTTTCTTTCGGTTCTTGTTGTTTCTTGCATCGGTGTCAAAAGAGATCAACTGCAAACGCTGCACTTTTTACTTTCGCGCTCGAAAAAGAAGCTGACAGCAAACTCCTATTTCTTGGCGTCCTCGTCCAGCGAAAAACTGAAGAGACATTCCACACATCAGTGTACCTCAAAAAAGTTTATATGGAGGTTATCCTACAGTGAAAGACCATCCACCCTATCGCTCACAAACGGAGTGCTGTTAACACCCTACTTAACCGGCAAAGGCATCATCCTCTGAGAAAGAAGGATACAACATAGAACTTAATTGTTTGTTCAGCCTATTTTCCCATAATGGCTACCATAGAGACTTCGTATCCCGATGTATAAGAGGGCAGGAATCAAAAAAAGGAAAAAAGGAAATTATTCCGATCAGACGCCAAGGCCAAAAAACTGACGAAAACTACCCTACATCAAAAATGTGTCTGAACCCGTTGAAAGACACCTGAGGAAGCACCAAATGCAAGTGGCGTACAAACCGACGACCAAGTTACGCAACCAGTTCGTACTCCCTAAGGACAGGGTTGACTATTTGGGGAAAAAGTCGTCTATAAGATTCCACCTGTCACCTGTAATGCAGTATATTGGAGTCAAACCAAGAAATCCGCCTCTACATGACAACATGAACACCAGATGGCAGTAAAGAGGCGGGACCACTTATCCCAAGTCACCATGCAGACTTTAGGAATTTGGCACAAAGTTACTTGAGATAAAACGTGCATTGTCGGTCTCTGCTCATATAAGAAAGACCGAGAATTTCTGGAGGCCATTCACTCTGATGATTCATGCATTAATCAGCACATCGATCTGGACGTCATGTACACACATCTCAAAGAAAAGTGGAAAAGATGATAACCAATCAAAACCTGATGTCAGCCCACAGCATCGGCCCATTCGCAGCACCAGCAAAACAATATAGATTTATCAGGCACGTTTAAATTTTAATTTTTTTTCACGCCTTCTACACGTCTAACGACGGCCTGGGGAATCAATGTCAGAAATTTACGAAATAAAGTTTGTTCAATTTCCCGAAAGATTCGTTTTCTTCAAAGTACATATATACACACATGTTGCGTTAAAATGCACGCTGTGGAATTCTCAAGCGACACTTTTAACCTTGCGAGCAGTAGACTAGACAATTACTTACGAGGGCCTCTCAACAACTGTCATAATCTTAAAAGTGCAAAACTTTAAGACAACACGATTTCTAGCAGACCTTTTTTCTCGCTTGCTCGGCGTCAACCTAAGTACAGTAGTACGAAGACTCGGATTGCTAAACCCGAGGTGATGACTAAGCATCGCCAGGTAGGTGGAAAGTAACTCATCCAGTCGATCTGTAGCTCCCTTCTCGCGTCACGAAATGGTCCCTTGGTGGCATCATTGCCTGCTGATTTATTCGGTTACATCAGATAACGAAATCTCAAGATAGGGCTGAAATGAAGTTACGCCATCCTCTGTAGGTCCTGTGTAGGTGTAAAATCCTCGGGAGAAGGAGATCGGCGGATGATGAGAGGGTGCAGGGGGAGGCGGCGTTTGTACTCGCTTGTCTCTCCCGACTGTTTAAACCCGATTTCTTGTGCTCGCGAGACGTTTCTTTTAATGGGTACGCGGTTTGGGAGGATCATTGAGAGAACGCTTCCGTTAGTGTAAAAGCATGTGTTGACCTGCTCACCCCAGTTCAAAGACGTTAGGCTCGTAGTTCCTCCTGCATTCATTAAAATCGGTCTTTTTGACGGGTTATTTGTCGGTCAGTTTGTCCTCGGGTATTTGCCAACAAGTTTTATGCAGGGACTGAGGATTTTCATTGAGAGCCATTGTGGTACTATTTCCACACCGGATTCCCCATCCCACTTTCCTAATCGTTTTGTTACTCATTTTTTGTAGACATTGAAAAAGCCTTCAGCGTCGTTTCACGCAACTCCGCCCTTGACGGGAGATACCGTGGTAGTCGGCATTTGTGGTTGTGAGTACGTCTACCTATTACTTTGACCCGGCCACACGTCACCTTAATGTCTGCATAACGCGGGACTTGGCCTCCAGCGGGCTGGCAATCCGTTGTCGATCGATAATTTTCCCTTCGTCTATTGACCGCAGGCAGGGGTGGCTGAGCTGCCGTCTGCCTTTTATTTGGGAAACTCACTGTTGCTATGGTAGAGGGGCGCTCACCGATCGTGTTACGGAACTCACTCGTCCCGTTATGTCTTGGGGTTCTCTTTCTCTCAACACTGCCAAGCGGCCGCACAGTTGCGCGTGGTAGAGGCAGAATAGCATTACCGACAAAGACAAGGGAGACTGGAATGGCCATTTCTGGCTTATTAGACGTCGTCAGTCAGAAATGACAATTTCAGTCTCTCTTGTCATTGTCCGCAGCGCTATTCTCACTGTTGCTAGCTAGCACACCGCGACAGCGCCTATTTCATTTAGACTGCCAGGATTCTGAAGCAACATGAAGAAGTCGAATTTTTGAGTAGTCTTTAAAGAAGTAAAATAAAAACCTAATCCATCTGTTAACGCCTGATTAAAAATCACACCAGTTCTCAACTGGAGGATGGTGCGAAATATAAACGCCTGCACTTTTTACTAGGTAAGCAAGATTCTCTTGATACATTTTTCTTCGCGATATGGAGGGAAGGCAAAACGTTAGGAAGTCCTGAAGGAAATCGTTAAATCTGCCACTAATTTGGCAAATTTTTCTTGAGTATGATTGCATAGTGATGCATATGACACCTTGATGCCTTTTAATCCTTCCACAAAGGTAAGAACTTAATTGAGGAATACCAACAAACCCTATGAAGAATTAAACTGACATCTTCGGCTTATTGTCTGCAGTCAGTCAGCCAGACCCCAACCTCAGGCAGGCAAGACTTGAGGCTGGGGCATCTAAATCAAACACTCAACCTCTTCATCCTTTTCATCGTTCATCTTATATTCACAGTAGGCCTTCGCCAACCACCAGTCGTCCTTATTTCGAACGAAATTTTACCCTTGTCTGAGTTTTAATGAGTGTGTACACTGAATACTGACTTGGGAGCAATCTCCAGGGTAGGTTTATGATAACCCCCACGAAAGCCTTTTGATCTAATTCCTGGTAATCACCGTCGTCCTGATCGCTTAACGTAGTAACTGGACCGACAAGTGAATTCGACACATAAATGGTCTAATGGTTTTCAGTTTGTCGGGGATTGTGCAAACTGACGTGTGAACTTAATTGTTCCTAGAGCACGTGGCTTTGCTTGTCTGGTGAGAAAGAGAAAACTCGAAATGAGAACCTCCACTCTCATTTGCCGGTATATCTCACAAATTGATCTTGTTTGTTCGAACTGAACCGTTTCTTGGTCGTACTAGTCCTTCCTGTTCGTGCAACCGGTTATTCTCCTAGTCAGCGGAACCAGCCGCCGCTTGGTACACCTGTCTTTTGGGACCCACGAAGAAACGTTAACCGCTATACTTAAAAAAGGGGTCTGGCAGACTGACATCTTTCCGTGCCCACTCCTCTAATTTTGACATCGTCGGTCAAACAACTAAATTTAAGGTTTGCTCTTGTTATTATTTGTCTTTTGCTTTAAAAATCAATTCAAAAACGAATACCCACCCTTGATTTTAGACAAATTGCAGAAGTTTCACACGACATCCCCCTTTGTGCGCCAGAGAGCGGCGTTTGTACGACCTTGTCAAGTGTGTAACCAAAATGCTTACGACCAGTAATATCTATACATTGGCCTTTCCATTCACTCTGCATTATGCCGTATCAACTGTTACCTATCGATTTTTGTAAACCCGAACATGTATTTCGCCGATGCCTGAACGCGTTCATCTAACACAACTGATAACCGTTAAAAAATCATTCTACTAACTTTATGCACCTGTCTGAATGCAAGTTTGTCCTTATTAAAGCCGTGGACGATGTGATTAATTGTAACTCGCTTATGCATGATGGGTAAAAATTCGCAACCATTAAAACCAAGATTGTAACTATGCTGTCAAAAATAATAAACTAATGGGTCATGCAAGTCTAGTGTTCGGAAATAATGTAAAAACGAACGAGGTATCACTTTGTGTTGGATGAACTCGGTGCCTCCGATGGAAACTTACCTCCTGCCCTCACATGCAATCTATTATTTAAAAACCCGATTATGTGTTTACTTAACATATTTAAGTAATTATTTTGTTACCCATCATATTCTGACCTCGAGAAAAAAAGAGGAACGTGGGTCACGCCTGACGCCGATGCCGCTTGAGAAAATTTGCGTCCTCGCTATCGACAGCGGCTGAGGGTGTGTGTTCCCTCTGGGCAGTAGTCCGCTTCCATCGATAGCAGGTACCTGGCTGAACGCAGCGCCCGTCTGCATGATCCTGGATAATGGGTTCTGCTGGGTTCTTAGACTTATTGTTAACTTGCATTATAAGCCTGTGGACCATTAGTTAGGGTGAACATACATTTTAGTCTCTCCCTCCAGACATCCGAGTTAATCATATCCAAGCCTTCGACTGCGATGGCATATGCAAAAATTTAGTTTTCTGGGTAGCAGGCTCAGTGTATGTGCCTGTGGTGGTGGTGGTGGTGGTGGTGGTGGTGGTGGTGGTGGT